TCTATCAACAAAGGTGATATCCATATGAGTTTTTAGGGAGAAGCAATGGCTTTTAAGCTTGTGGAGCACAAGGTCCACTTAAATGAGGTAGAGATGCAGCCTTGGCCACTATATGAGGCTACTTCACTTGAGATTGAACTAATGTCACTCATATTCATGTTGCTAAGGAAGTTTGCAACCATGGAATATGATTTTTCTTTATGGTTTATAATACTCTGATACAATAGATGGACAAGGTGCATGCATGCTAAAAGCTTGTGGATTATCTATTAGCTAAAGGTGGCACCCTTCCTTCAACACCAGCCTAGCTCTTTTTAGAAGCTTCTCCAACCTTAGAACATCATTATGAATCTCTCCAGCCAGAGGATATTAGTTGTGGCATCATCTATACCGATTGTGGTATCTTTTGCAATCATTAACATTTCACTCGACCACCAAATTCTTGTGAGTGCTTCAAATTGAGTTCACTACTTTGAGGACACTTCCTTTCATGCTTTATACATGAGCTGTAGATTTCCTCATTATGGTGATGCTACTCATTTTAAAGAATCTTGAAGGAGGCTGAAGATGTTGCAAAAGCTAGTTATATTGCCCTCTAAAGTGTGATATCTTGTCAACCTAGAACATCTTGGCACCAGCTCAATCACAGAAGAGAATTTTTCTATTATGAAATCTTTCATTTTTTTTCTCTTTTTTCTTTCTCTTCCTTTCTTCAGTTTTGTTTCAAATGGTATTTCCTTTGGATAACTATGCTCTTCCATGAGTTGTTCTTCATAGGCTATATCAATCTTGTTTATTTGGAAACTCAAGTTTTTCTTCCAGATTTAGTTTTTTGTCCTAATTTTTCTTAACATAACTTTATTTTACATATCATCCTCTCCATTCTCATTTACTCATAGTCATCATTCGCTAATTTAGTCATTCAATACACTATTGTCCATCATTTATTACACTTGCCCACTCACATTCCATCCCATTTCCACACTATGCATAGACAATATTGGGGGTTTTACTACATCACAATATCCAGCATAACAATCCACAGTATATGCAATAACAATAAGTGAATTCTGACATACCAAACTCAAGATATAGTGTAAACCATCTTGATACATCTTTTGGCAAGTTTTTGGACACTAGCAACAGATTTCTTTAGCTAATTAGACCTGATCACAACAAAACACCAAATGCTTTCAACAAGAAGATGTTTTTCTTGAACCTGCACTTTCTACAATGACAAAACAATGATCCAAGCAAATGCCACCCACTAACTACACATGTTTTTTTTTTTTACAATAAGTATGTTAGTTGTAGACACATTTGAAAGTTATGACATACTAAAAGACCCCCACCACTATCCTATCATACCATTTAGCCTTTCCATCATTTATTAGTCATCATTACAGCCACAATCTTTTCACTTTATCATAATTACCATTTTTGGGCATCACTTTCACTTTCACTCTCTTTTCTTTGGGATTTTAAAGTTGATTTAAGGTACTTTTTTACTTTCTTGGCAATTTTATCTTTTTCTTTGTTTTATATTTTCTTTCTTCTTTATTTTTCCTTTTTCCTCTTCTTTTGAGTTGAATTCTTAGTTCTTGGATCACATTTTTCTTATAGGGTTTTCCCTTAATCCCAAAACTTTGTAAATTCTTTTCTTTCTTTTTATTTTCTTTGGATTCTCTTCATCTCTTTCACATGCGACGTGCAATCCCCTGTGGTCATCTATTAGGATATATATAGCTTTGAGTGAGATTCTTTGAAATAATCCACTATTAAAATATTTAAGGGGTATGAGGGATATTCTAGGAGAGGGGATATACTTTCTCCCACATTGCTAAGGTTTCAAAAAGATTTTGAGCAACATTTGAGTGATGATAGATTAGTGTGCCCTATGTTGAGGGGCTTCCTTTTCAATAACAATAAATCTTTGTTTAGAAAACCTATTGATGCTGGAACAATAGACTCATCAAAAATATAAAAAAAAGAGTAAAGAAGGGAGAGGAGCTTGAGAAAGATTGTCATCATTAGCCATAAAACTCTTTAAATAATGAACAACCTCAAAGTTATATATAATCTAAAATGAGCCCACTGACCAACTTAATTGTTCCACTTCAATAATGAAGTGAATATAGTATGATCACCATGTCCAAGAAGTATGCAAGTATATAATAAAATTTATCAAAATCTCAAACTACTACTAAACACTCTTTTTCTGTTATAGAGTAGTCCACCTCAGTTAATTACAATATACAGTTGATATACATTATAAGATGACATTAACTAGGCACACTCATTCTCTCCTACATCAACAATGGTTTTTGGGGTAATTAAATCTGCATATTTATATATTCCATAAACTCACAAAACTATAAATAATATACAAAAACTATATTTTATAGTAAATAATATTCAGATAAACAAGAGAAACATAATATTTTTTTACAATCCAATATGCAATAAATTATTTTTGTTTTTTTTAGAAAATAATTATATTTATAGACAATAGTTTTGGTGTCCTTTATTGTAAGGAATAATGTAAGCACTTCAAGCCAATAATGCTTCTACTAAAAATACTTGTAAAGCCTTTTTTGCAATTAGAGCAAAAAATTTAAAACTTAACATATTTTAATAGAGATACTATTAAAGTTTCAAAACATTATTCATTTTAGTAGAGATACTCAGATAATATTAAAAATTATAAATTAAGTAGTATAATTGCCAAAAACAAATATGCATATATGAAAAATTTACTGCATGCAGTAATGCTTGGTTGATTTTATATCTATATATTTTAAGGGATAGTGGATATACCTAGAATATTCATATATATGGGATTGTGACAGCTAATATACATTTAGGTTAATCTTGTGGTATAACTTATAAATATAATTTTAAAGTATTTTAATAAATTTTCTTGGGATTTATTCTTTCTTTATTATGTAGTGTTTCTTGTGGAGAGCAAGGTTCCTGTTGAGATGATGATGCTAGCACCATCTACCTCATTCACAACTACCACTATTGTAATCCCCTATATTAGGGTTCTTTGATGATGTTCCAATCATGTATCACTGTAGTTTCCTTGCTACATTATTGATTGAGAAGAGTGATCCAAAGAATTTTACGTGCTAGCATTGTTCTGCAGATGTGCAGAGCTCATGGTAGCAATTGTAAACTCATGGATCTCATTCCCTTCTCTCAGGGATTTCTAGTTAAGTGGAAAGAACCAGGGCACCTTAATGAATGGCAAAATCAAGTATATATATTTGCAAGTTGGATTTCTCCTTGGACAACTTAGGATGCATTAGTGTTGAGGCAGAAATCTTTCTCCATTTCTGAGTTGCCTTGCTAAATAACTTTCAACAGAATATGCTATCTTGGCAGGCTGGCAGAATATGCTATGGAATGTGGTAGAACCCTAAACCATTTCCTTTGGCAGGATAGGTTTCCATCACTTGTCTTGCTTGTGTTATGTGGCATTTTGGCACAAGGGCAACATGGGGTGATGGCAGCCATAAGTGCTTGAATAAGCTTAGTGGAGAATAGCCCTAACCACAAATGCAAGCTCCAAGTTGGCCATTTTTGGTTAAGTAGATTAATTTGGCCATTTCCGGATACATTTGTCTGGGATCATCTGTCTTGTAACCTATACTAATCATGAATGCACAATAAATCCAATTTTTTCTATATCACCTTTTACAGTTTGGGTGTCCGGGGGGTCTCTGTATCTAGAAGACATGCTCTCTCACTTTTTTTGTCCAAAAGTATAAAGATAGATTTCTAAAAGAAAACAAGACTTGCACTGCCAATGTACTCAAGTACATATCCAAGCTGTGCATTAGAAGTGACTTCCAAAATACTAGACTCTAAAGAAAGTGCTCCATCTAATCACTTTCCATTGCCTCATGAATCTCATCATCCCATCCTTTCTTTGTGGGGGAGCTAGACAATGGATCAATTGGCACCATGAGCTTTACCTGTGACTAGCCCCGTCTGTTGCTGTTGTGGGTTCTGGATTTTGGCTGTGAGATACTCCTACGAGTGGGAGTCAGAACTGAGAGCACAAAACGATTATCCAATACCCATTTGTGCACGGCCAGGAAGGTGATGGAGAGACTCCTCATGACCTTGGTGTTGGGCATTAGTTTGTTTTGGATGAGACCCAAAACTACACTTTGTGTGCACTGCTTGTTCTTGCGATGCATGACAAAGAGGCTATTGATCCTGGCATGGGTGGCTATAAAGGGAGAGCACAACTTTGCTGCTGCTCAGCTTTGCTCTGTCTATGGATGCACTCTTGGTGAATACGTTGGCCATGGATTGTAGCGAGAAACTCTAGTTTTAGGATTTTTCCCATTGCTTCATACTTATCAGTGTGAGAAAATCTAGCACCCGCTGCCATGAAGTCGAATAGCTATAACATGCTATTCTGCTCTAGGATGGGCACCTAATGCTGGACTTCTTCAGTGATATCGTTCTCCTTCTCAGATCTCATCTTCTTTTGGGCGATCCATAGCTCAGGCGCTGGATCAGCTTTGCCAAGACTGCCAGCTTGATTGGATCTCAGCAGAAACCATACCCCTCAGATCCAGTGGCTCGTAAGAGATGCTCGTAATCTCTTGGTAAATCTTCCACTTTGTAATTCTGAGTTCACCTTCCATCATGGACTTTAGCATCACCAAAGTGTGAGGAAATGCCATTCCAGCCATCAAAGCTTCTACTTTGGCTGCTTGTCCCAGAGATCGACCAGGTGCTATTTTGTAGTCTACACATAGAGATCCAAATCTCTGGCAGGCCTTTCACAAAGGATGAAATGTACAAGATTGGACCAGCACGAATTGCTTGGATCCTTCACAGCGATTTGGGGAAGATAATTACTTTTGAGGCAAGGCTTTCGGAAGTGTTCTCTCTCTCTCTCTCTCTCTCTCTCCCACACAAGAGTTTGAAAGTGGCGGGAATTGGAGGATATTCCTGGTTCGTGGTTAGGGTTTAGGGCTATGGCGTGCACCAAGCCTACGCTTGTGCTAGACATTGACAACACGCTAGTGTATGGAAGGGCGACGAAGCGGCCGGGGCTGGATGAATTCCTGGCCAGAGTAAGCAAGCTCTACGAGATCGTCATCTTCACGTCCAGCAACCAGGAGCGCGCGGATCGGATCATCGACCACATTCTCAAAGTGAGCGTCGCACGCCGGCTCTATTGCAATTCCTGCGTCCGGGGCACCAAGCCCCTGGAGATTCTGGGGCAGGATTTGAGGAGAGTGGTGGCCATAGATGACAATCCGCTGGCGTTTGCGGGCAATGAGGAGAATGGCTTGGCGATCGTGCCTTTTTCGGAGTGGAGCATGGAGGAGGAAGAGCGCGAGAGGCATTTGATCAAGCTGCTGCCGCTGCTGGAAGGGATCGCGGGGCTGGAGGATTTGAGGCCGTCTCTCAAGCAGTGGAAGGAAGGAAAGTTCCAAGGAGATATAATTCCCTTGCTTGATGAAAACAACCACGACGTAGAAAAAGACTACATAAATCTCATATGATCTTGTATCCCTTGACAACCACGATGTAAGAAAAACTACACACCTGCGATTATACTTTCTGGAGCTTACTTGAATCTCATATGCTCTTGTTAGATTTGCTATGCTTTTTTAATCTACTTAAGACAATGTAGTCAAAGAGCTAGTTGAGATTAAAACGTTTATGACTTTCACTGATCGTTCTTGATCTCCTAAAACAAGAGTACTTTCAGTAACATGTTCGAGTTTGATCGGATTCGTCAACTTAAACATTGTTATACTATTGTTTCTTTGAAATCGTGCAGTGCAAATAGGACATGACGTTTTGTCTGTGATGTACTTCTTCCACCCTGAGCGAAAAAACAAACAAGGCCTCTGTGAATGGAATCTACCATCAAGCTTCAAAGTTTCAGATTATAACTTGAAGGAGCATAGGCTAAGTTTTGAAGCTTCTGCAATTGCCCAGACCCAGACTGTCTGATTCTTTTTCTCTCATTCATGGAACTCACTGACTGGACCCCCACCCAAAAAACTGCACAGCTGCATTGCAAAGAGGAGAGTTTCTTGGGAGGGAGCCCAGAGGGGTTTTTTTGGGAAAATGGAAGACAATTACTGACATCCCCATGTGGTTGCATTGTGGCAGTCAAGTGAACAGGTACCCCACATGGGCCAACATGGCCTCTCTCTCTTCTTTTTTTTCCACTTTTTATAAAACTTCAAAAAAACCAAAAGAGAAAAGGAACAAATTTCTTTTTTGACAGAGGAGAAATGTTCCTGATGTTGATGTGTGGATGAATAGATGGCATTGCAGCGGGGATGATTGGAGCTCTGCACAGCTGATCCAAAGATCTTCTTGTTCCTCAGTAGTTATTAGTTGAGATGGATGGAGAGTCACTTTCTTGCTGCATGGAAACAGTTTTGAGATTATGCCCAGTTGATCATGGGGCCAAGAAAGTTTTCAAAGACAAATGTGCTAGAGGACAATTGTCAATGTAGCAAAATGGCATCAAAGATGGCTTGCAGTTGAACAGCTTGGTGTTACATGGGTGTCAGCGACTTGAAAAGAGGGAAGGCGGGACCTTGGATACTGTAGCATCATGTGCTGACACACATCCCCAAACCAAACACCCAAGAAGAAAACCAAATAAACTAGCTAGGCAAGTTTGACAAAATCTGTAGTTGTTTAGCCCAGTCCTATATAAGCCTCACACATTTGCAGCAGTCCCTTCATTCATTCATTCGTTTGTTTGTGGAGGAGCAGCCTCCCTGTAGCTAAAGCTAGTTTTAAACGAGTGACCTTTCCAGTTTCCATGGCCAGCCTTTTTGCCTCTTTCAAGATCTTCATGGCACTCTTGCTAGGCAGAGTAGTCCATGGTGGTGGCTATGGAGGTGGTTGGACTGATGCCCATGCGACCTTTTATGGTGGATCCAATGCAGCAGGCACAATGGGTAAAAATCTTCAAATCCTTTCGCTCCAACATTTTAACATATTGGGTTTCTATTTGTTCCAGGTGGTGCCTGTGGCTATGGAAACTTGGTGAGTGCTGGATATGGCACCAACACAGCAGCATTGAGCACTGCTCTGTTTCAAGATGGGCTGAGCTGCGGAGCCTGCTTTGAAGTCAAGTGTGCAAGTGGCAGTGATCCCAAGTGGTGCCTCCCAGGCTCTGTGGTTGTCACAGCCACAAACTTCTGCCCTCCAAGTTCCCAACCCAGCAACGATGGGGGCTGGTGCAACTCCCCCCTCCAGCACTTTGACATGGCCCAGCCTGCATTTCTCAAGATTGCACAATACTCTGCTGGGATTGTCCCCATCTCCTACAGAAGGTAGAAATCCAGTCACCTCTGTTCCCATTCTGAGTATGTCGTCTGAACTTTGACACCCCATCCCCCTCACTGTCCAACATCTTGTCCACTGTTCTTTCAGAGCGTTTCCTGGAGCTTTTCTGAGACCCACCTTCACTTTCTGTCTGAACTCGGGAGCTGCTCACGTTTGGTGTCCAGAAAGCTTTTCTACCTTACTGTTTCTCTTGCCAGTCTCTTTAGAGTTTAGATTCTTTCAAACTGACTTGACTTCATCCATCTTTCTCTCTCTTGGATCTCTTCATTTTCCAAACTAAGAAAAGTTTCCTGGTTTTCTTGCAGAGTCTCTTGCTCTAGGAGTGGTGGCATCCGATTCACCATGAACGGCCACGCCTACTTCAACCTGGTGCTAATCACCAACGTTGGCGGTGCCGGGGACGTGCACGCCGTCTCCATCAAAGGCTCGGGCACCGACTGGATCCCCATGAGCCGCAACTGGGGCCAAAACTGGCAGAGCAACGCTCTCCTGGGCGGCCAGGCCCTCTCCTTCAAGGTCACAACCAGCGATGGCAAAACCACCATCGCCTACAACGTCGCCGGGGCAAACTGGGCGTATGGGCAGACGTTCGAGGGCGAGCAGTTCTAGTTTGCGGGTTAACTCTCGTGGTTCTCATGACATTGCGCGGCTCATGGAGGGGTTCTTTTGATTCTTTCGTAGTTTCTAAGATCAGGTGGGATAGGAAAGGTGGTAGAGTTGATGGCGAGGAGCGATTCTAGGGGGAGTTTCTCTTGACAACAGGATTGATGGGCGATTGAGTTTGCCATTGATTGGTTGGATTTCACAGCATGCAAGAGCTTTGCAAATGTGGAGCCTGCTGCTGCTAATGAGTTTTTAAAAGTTTAGGAGCAACGATCCGACGATTGAAGAAGATGGCCGTTTTGTACATATGATAAAAAATAAGCCCAGCTTGCGGAGGAATCTTAGAGGTGGTTTGCTTGAAAATTGCCCTCCTCAACGCACAAGCTCTTCAAAACTTGCAATAATCAAATTTGCACTTGAAAACAAGTTGTCAATGTAAATGCAGTGATCTTTTGAACTTCAAACCAGCTAAATGCGAAGGTCTCTTTCCGATCTTACGTCCAAGAATAGAAAAAACACTTGAAATCTTCCATATTCCTCACGGCCTTTCATCGTTTCAACAGATCCCAAAGCCATGTGTAGTGTCCCTTTATGTTTCACACGACCCATGACCAGAAAAACTCGCCACCCATTATTTCAAAGCCCATCGTGGGGCAACAAACAAGAACAACATGTGAGAAGCACAACCCGCTCCTCGATTTTAAAGCTGTCAGTTAGATACATTTGGACTGAAGCTCGCAAACTTTTAAAGAAAGCTTTTCTCTTTTGGTTTCGATGCAGTGCACAAGAGCTTCATAACGCTCGCCTCGTTTCCTTTTATCTTCTATTTTTCCCCGTGACTCTTTGCAAACTCCCGACAGCGTGATGGAGCTCGTCTGCTCGATTTGGACTTTGCAAACTGTTCCTCGAGCTTCTCTAGAATCTCTAAAATCTCTTCCAGCGGCGGGGAGGTTGGCCGTCGTTTCTTCATCTCATCCCCATCCTCAAATCTGCGCTAAAAACCCATCCTTTCTAGACCCTCTACGCTCTTAGTTTCCTCCATGGATGTAATGAAACTTTTACCTCCTCTTCCATCTTCCAGCATGTCTTCCATCTCTTCCATCTCTTTCCTTCGATCCCTGCAACACAGCCAGCCATAAGCACAGGACGAGAACCAGAAAAGCTCCAGAGAAAAACAACGTACTTTTCAATCAAACTGGGACCCTTCGAAGGTTTGTCCATACTGCCAGTCGGCGGGAGCCACGTCCATGGAGACCACGCTTTTGCCATCGCTCGTGGTGACTCTGAACGAGAGGCTCTGCCCCTGGAACTGACCATTGCTCTGCCAGTTTTGTCCCCAGTTCCGGCTCATGTCTTGCCAACCGGTGCCGGAGCCTTTGATGGACACGGCGTGCACGTCGCCTGCTCCGCCAACGTTGCTGATGAGCACCAGATTGAAATACGTGTGGCCGTTCATTGTGAAGTGGATTCCTCCCTTCTTGACGCAGCTGACTCTGTTATCCACCAAACGAGAAAAAGTTATGAGCGGCTTTTAAAGGCTTTCGACTTTACCTTCTGTATTGGACGGGAACAATGCCTCCCCTGTAGATGCCAATTTGCTCCCACGCAGGCTGCGCCATGTCGAAGTGTTCCAGTGGAGGGTTGCACCATCCTCCGTTGTTGTTTGCGAGAGCGTAGTTTGGAGGGCAGAAGTTGGTTGCAGTGACAACAACGGAAGTCCCGGCAATGCACCATCTTGGATCGGCAGCACTGTCACACCGGATCTCAAAGCACGCACCACAGCTCAATCCAGAGTTGAACAAAGCAGTGCTCAGTGCGGCATTGTTGTTGCCGTATCCTTGGCTGTACAAATTACCATAACCACAAGCTCCACCTACAAACAAAAGAAGAACATCACACATATATTATAACTCTTCACTGTAGAAAACTTCACGCATTACGTACCCATTGTCCCTGCTGCATCGCTTCCCCCATAGAAAGTTGCATGAGCGCTTGTCCACCCTTGTCCCTGAGCGAACTGGAACAGCGTACAGTGGAGAAGAAATCCAAGAGCAGCGAGAACTGGCGACCTGGAATACCATGAATTCATCATGTCGTTAGCCGACAGGGAAGAGAAAACAAGCTTTACAACAATCCTCTCTCACTCACATTGTGTCGAAAGAACCGCGAGAGAGAAGAGAGAGAAGAGCTAGCTTAGCTTCACCTTTGAGCTGTAAGAGTGTTCGTATAGCCATTGTCCTTAAATACAAAGAACAGATCCACAGTGAATTGATTGAGACCTGACATCAGATCAAATGGGTGGAGAGAGGTAGTTAGTCGACACCAAAGACCCAGTATAAGCAGCTACCAAACAATACCATGAAAACAGAACGAATCAATTCACTACGAAAAAAAAAAGCCTGGAAAAGAATAACAAAAGCCACAGCAAGCAAACCAAAAGCCCAACAAGGAAAACATCACCGAATCACCATTCCCTGCGACACCACAGCTTTAATGGCAAACGGTGGTAAAGTTCACGCAACCGGTGGTACCACGGTGGAGTATCATACAAATCCAGCGAGTTGTGCCTGAGGATCAAAAGAGATCACGCTCAGACAATGAAAGAAACGGCAAGATCGCAAGGATAAAATAGAGCTAAAACAAAACAAACCGCGCAAACTGCCAACGATTGTCTAACTAATGAAGCGAATCTGATGGCAGTACCTTAAAGACACCCTCCACATGACTCTTCCTAACTCGCACGCAGCTGACGTCTTCTCCATGTGACCACCAGAATGTGTGTACTTTCGTGCTCCACTCTTTTTTTCTCTTCTTCTAGTAGCAGCATAATCGCCGATCCTGCCGTGTTGAATGGCCGACTAGTGTTTGCGAGCGCTTTGCTTTGCAGACAAGCTTAGTGCCGCAGAGCTTTTGGCTCCGCTTAGCAGTGAAGCTCACTTCACTCCTCACGGGGCCAAAAGGACCACGGCACTAGTTCGTGCTCAGCTCAAGCGTTTCGCTCGCCAAGTTTGTTCGTATGATCTGATCCATCAATGTAGCTAAGGAACGCAACAAAACAATCAGTAGATAACTTGAAACAGCCAGACACAGACCTGTTACGTTCACGCTTGAGACTTGTTCACGTTCAGTTCGTATATAAACAAGCCCTCCACGCAGTTTGTGCGTGCCAAGTTTCCCCCGTACCAAATATAAGCACAGTACTCTCTCTTTTACGTGCAAACGCGCGGCTTTCTTCTGATCACTACAGGGAACGGTTTTGTCAGTCGATAAAATTAAAAAGTAGTGTGCGAGAAGCCATACCTCTCTTTCGAATCAAGAAGCATATCCCTTTGACTTTGACTGAATATTCGTTTAACAGTAGTCAAGTACAAAAAAGGATTGGTCCCTGGGATTTTACCGCAAAGCATCATCTCATCGCGGCGTTGCAAAATGATCGGATAGATATCACTTCGTTCGCATCTGATATCTCTTCCCAGGATTAAAAACGAGAGAGCGATTCGAGTATATAGAAAGGAAGAACCAGCCCCTGTAGCACTCCGTTAGACCGCCGAGAACTTAGCACGAGATCATACTTACCACCGGTTTCCATTTTTTTTTACAAGATACGATGAGAAGGTAATCACTGCCGTCGATGCTGCTGCCAAGTTTGCTGGATAATGGTCGACGGGTATGGCGGAGGCGGCGAGCTCGGAGGCCGAGGAGGAGATGGCGGTGGCATCGCTGGTAGCGGCGGGGGCGATGGTGGTGGCGACGTTGGTAGCGGCGCAAGCCTCTCTACGCCTCTTTTCACCACGAGGGTCCTACCGTTTTGGGGCTCTGGCGCTTCCTCCATAGCCACCTTGAGCTTATGGTCTTTCACCGGAGACACATCCATTCCCATCTCCATCTCCATCTCCATCTCCATCTCTTCGTCCTCCTCGTCGTCCCTCCGGACGAGAAATCCAGGGAGCTGAAAGCTTGTGTTGCTACAAGCCCACAAGGAAACGTCAGCCATGCCTCGGGAGTGTGAGGGAGAAACGCTTGTGAGCCATACCTGCCGTACTCGTCCACAAGCATGTCACTGCCCATCTCACGCATGGGATCGTGGAATGCACGGTCGTGACGCTGGTACTGCCGCTGTGTGGTGTTGAGACCCGCTTCCATGCCGAGCCTGGCGATGGTGTCCTTGAGGAGAGTTTCTTTCATGATGTTCCTCTTCACCCACAAGTTCACCACCTGATGGAAACGAATCAAGCCACGGTGGAAAGAAAGCACACGAAGTTTACCTTCACACACTGCTGGCGATTTTCCGAGGGGCTGTTTGGAGGAGCGACGGCAGTCAGGAAACGAGCAAGACAGCCTTCCACGATAGAAGCATAATCCGGTCCACCTGGAGACCATCACGGAGTCAGAATCTTGTAAAACTCTGACAACAAACTTCCACCTTTGTGATGATGATACTGCGCCATGGAATCCACCAAGAACAACAAATCTACGCGCTTCTTGTGTTCGCGTTCCCTCTTAAGTTTGCGCATTATAGCATCCATGACCTGTTGGTAAAACCGTCCGTCAGCCATGGAACGTAAAACCAAGACCATACCTGTTTGGCGATTCCTTTGTTTGCGCAATCCATCGCAAAGAGCGTAGTTTTTTGAATGCTCTCTTTGGCTCGCGTGAGCGTTTCAAGCATCCCCTGGAAAGTCTCCAGCGCTATTCCTTTCTCCCTTTCCTTGAGTTTCTTAGCGTCGCTTCCATGCTTCTCTTTCTCGGCGGGACTTGTATTGTCCGGTGTAGGTTCCTTGAAAACAGGCGAGTCCGATTGCGTTTGCTGCTTTGATTCAGCCGCTGCTTTCAGAAACTTCATGGATGCCGACGCCGTTTCCTCTTTCAGGGCTAGGCGACGCTGCTTCAATTCTTTCGCAGCTTCGTAACTGTGAATTAGCAAAAACCAGTCAGAACAAGGGTTGTAGAATGTGACAAAAACTGTACTTACGCTTCACGAACTTTGTTTGAACCTCCACCGTCAAGAAGCCTCGAAACCGGAGTAGAGATTGCCTCCAACGTATTATTCAGGGCCTCGGGCTCCACATGAAGAGTCTTCAGGGGCTTTTTAGCATCTTCCACCTCAGGTCTTTTGCCGTCGCTAGATTCTTTGGAAGTAGACACTTTCGCCTCCTTCTTCTTTGAATCATTGGACTGAGACCTGAACAGGTTCGGCCGATCCTTGATCTTCACATCGTTCCACTTTTCCTTCTCCTTGTCCTTCAATCCTTCTTTCAGCTTCTCCTTCTTTCCTTCTTTCAGCGTCTCCTTTTTCCCTTCCTTCAGCTGCTCCTTCAAAATGTCCTGCTTCTCCGTCGTCTCCTTCGAGGCCTTGTTCTTCTTCGCCTGCTTTGTATCCTTAATGTCAGCATCACTCGATCTCTTCAGGGCTTTCTTTTCGACCTTTTTCTTTTCGCTGTCCTGAGTTCTTTTACGCTCGCTCGATAAACCATTTGCATCGCCCGACTCCTTCTTTGAGTCATCGGACTGACACTTTAACAGCTTCTTGGTCTGCTTCACGTTTTTCAGCTTCCCTTCCTTTGACTGCTCCTTGGAAGTGCCCTGTTTTTCTTCCCTTAGCTTCTCTTTCAGGTTGCGCTGCTTTCCTTCCTTCGGTTTCTTCGCGACTTTGCCCTCCTGCGCCAGCTTTGTATCCTCACCATCATCCGGCCTCGGCCTCTTGAGTTTTTTCTTCTCAGCACCTATGGCCTCCTTCTTCTCAGTGTCCTCGTTCCCACCCGAAGCCTCACCATCTACCTTCTTCTTCCTTCTCTCGAACACCTTCATCGGCTTTTTCCTCCTCTCGAACGTCCGCAAGATCTTTGGCTTGGTCGGGTCGCCTGCAGCCTCCATCGGCATTTCCTCCTGGCTCCCAGCGACTTCTAGATCGTCCTGGAGCTTTTTCTCTCCCTCATTTCGATCATCCTCGATCTTCTTCTCTTGCTCGTCCTGGATCTTTTTCTCTCCCTCATTTCGATCATCCTCGATCTTCTTCTCTTGCTCGTCCTGGATCTTTTTCTCTCTCTCACTTCGATCATCCTCGACCTTCCCCTCTTCCTCCTGGATCTTTTTCTCTCCCTCATCCTCGAGCTTCTTCTCTTCCTGGATCTTTTTCTCCCTCTCATCCTCGAGCTTCTTCTCTTCCCTTCCATCGTCCTGGATGTTTTTCTCTCCCTCATTCAAATCATCCTCGACCTTCTCTCCATGAAACCTCCTTTCTCCCTCCTTTTGATCAATTCCAGGATCATCTACCCTCCTCACTACCTCGACATTCTTGTCCTCCTCAGCGTCGCTGGCACCAGGAGCTACCGAGGCGCGCTCCAAATCAAGCTGCTCATCCTTGCGAACATCATCCCTCCTAGAATCTAGCCCTACACCTTCTTGTTCCACCCGAGAACTAGGATCCTCCCGAGAATCAGCTAGAAACTCACAATTGCGATCGCGATCCGCGTGAGGACGCGCCGAGGCCTCCGCCTTGAGCTCCGCCATCGCTCCGCGAAGCCCTAACCCTATTCCACGCGCAACGGCTGGGATCTATTCAAGAATCATGACAGGAATATACCCTTCCTGCCCACTGCATGTAATGCTTGCATGGAAAACGATGAGGCGCTCGAGGGCGTATTTTTAAGGGCCATCGATCGGCCATTCCATCCAAGCAGCGCCTTCGTCTTCCTCTCCCAGGGTAAGCATTCTTTCTTGCGATCTTGGCCCGGATTCTTGCATCGATCGAGCTATCCTCTTTGATCGACGTGGATTCTTGCACTATCGATCTTTCTTCCCGGCTCCTCTTTGATTCGTGGTTCCCTTCTCGATTTTGGACGATATTTCGTGGATTTTCTTGTGTTCTTGCTCGTTCGTCGATAGTTTTCTCTAAAATCTCTCTACAGATTCACACAATGGCTCGAAAATCGCTGATCCTGTGCGCGCTAGCCCTGCTTATCGTCTCATCCAGCGCGAGTGAACACGATCGCCATGAGCGCCACGACCGTGGCGACGAAGAAGGCGACCATCACAAGCAAGCGACCAGTCCTTTCGTGCTCAAGGAACCCGTACAGGTGGTGAGTACGGAAGCCGGGGATATCCAAGTTCTTCCCGGTCCCAAAGAGCTGGGAGCCCTTGCAGAGAACCACATTGGTCTCAGCATCATCACCATCGAGCCCAAAGGTCTTTTGCTTCCACAGTACCTCGATGCCTCTTGCGTGCTTTACGTCCACAAAGGCAAGCTAAGCTTCTCTCTTCTCTCTTTTGGATTTCGATTTGTTTCCTCTAAATACTTTCTATCAATCCAGGACGGATGACTTTGGGATGGGCCGAGCAAGACTACCTTAACCGGCAGGATTTGGAGACTGGAGATATCTACGCTCTACCGGGTGGTTTCGTGTTCTACGTCCTCAACACCGACGAGGGACAGAGGCTGCGTCTGTATGGGATGTGTGACACATCCGAGAGCCTCGATGCTGGACACTTCCAATCGTTTTTCGTTGGTGGTGGAGTTGATCCTCGAACGATTCTCTCGGGATTTCATAAGGAGGCCGTCGCTGCTGCTTTGAAGGTAAGCATATCAACTTTTGCTCGTTCCTTCTCTTACATGAATACCTTTGATTCCCGTAGGTGGCTCCCGAGGATGTTTCAGAGATCCTGGGCTCCCAAACCGAAGGTCCCATTGTCTACACATCACGGGCTGGATATGATTTCTTGAAGGGAGACTCGGCCGCTTCAAATGCTCGTCGTGACGCGCCCAAGCCGTTCAACTTGCTCAAGAAAGCTCCCGACTTTAAGAACGAGAACGGCTGGACGATCGCTGTCCATGGCGCGGAATTCAGTCCCTTGAAAGAGGCGGACGTCGGAGTTTTCGCAGTCAGCTTGAAGCCAGTAAGTTCCAACATCTGTGATCTCTATTGCCAGGAAACTAAACTTTGTGGTTTTGCCAGGGAGCTATGCTCGCACCGCACTGGAATCCCAGAGCTGCCGAGGTAGCCTTCATCACCAAGGGCAACGGAAGGATCCAAGTCTCATACCCGAATGGAACCAACGCGCTCGACAAGGAACTGGACGAGAGCAAGGTGGTGTTCGTCCCTCGCTACTTCCCGATGTGCCAAATCGCTTCCCGGAATGGTGATTTCGAGTTCGTTGGATTCAGCACATCGTCTCGGCGGAACCGTCCACAGTTCTTGGCAGGTCTGGTAGTGTTTCACGTAGTTCTTGGCCTCAAAAGATCGTTCTTATCTTTCGCAGGATCCAACTCCGTGTTTAAGGCTTTCAGCAAGGACATCATGTCCAAGACTTTCAACGTCGACGCGAAGCGCTTGGAAGCCGTGCTCGATAACCAGCGCGACGCGGTGATCCTGCCTGGTTTCATCGAGGAAGATGGCAAGCGGAGCTCTGCAATGTAAAAAGTTTTGTGTGAATCAATCAAAGTGAGAACTTTTCCAAGCCTTTTTTGCGCGTCCCTTGTGAGATCAGTAGAGACCGCGTTTGATGTGATGAATCAAGTGTGATCGATCGCAATCACACGGAATTTTCACAACTTGAGAAAGCGCTGTAGTTCTGACCATTGAGCTACACGCAAGTGACGTCTTCGTTTTGTTCGCGTTTTTTAGTTCGTTGTCTCAGGTTCTTCATATAACTCTCGAGTTTTGTAATGGAGTTTCATAGCTTCTTTGTCATGTTTCTTTCCGATCCATCATGGTTCTCTTCGTGGTTCTCACGATTGTTGCGGGATTGCTCGTCTGTCCATGGTACATTCGCCGGAGGCTCCGCTACCTCTATCACTACTTCTTTGGCGATGGCGATAGCGAAGACATCATAACGATCAGGAGAAGTGATCTCTTCAAGCTCGTCCACGAGGAAAAACGCTCATGGTCCAATGTAGCTTCGATTGTTTTGCTCCTGCTAGTGGCCTCTCTTCTCGGAGAGTATTGTTATTCCTGGATTGTTGGAGAGCGTTTGCATCGGAGGGAGCTGCTGCTGCTGGCACTCTTTTCGTTGGTGCTGCTGCTCTGGATCCAGGATTCGGACATTGTCAAGGATCTGGGAAACTTTCTCGATCTGGCTTGTAAAATTCTAGACACTGTTGGTCGATTCTGGCCGGCGTAGTAATTCGAAACAGTTGATACGTTCCAATTTCGGCTGACAGGAAAAGAATGTAAAAAGACAACCAAACTTACAAAAACAAAGCTTTACCGACTTTTTAAAGAGTCTCCAGCAACTTGCCCCGGCTTCAGGGCCAGCGTGATGCGTCGGCGTGATGGCAATACAAGAATATGTCGAGCTCCGTCAGTCAAAACTACAGCTTTGGAAGGAAACCTGAATGAGCAGAGCTTGGAATAAGTAAGACATGAATGAAGGTACCTCTCCGTCTCCGTTAACTCCCATGGTGCTACTGATGATTGTTCTTGGTTTCTTGATCTTTCGATGGTACGTCGAGAGCTAGGAAAAAGAAGAAAAGAAATAGTTGGTTGATGAATCCTGTTGGCGCTTATTCTTCTTGTTCAATACTTAAATCGTGATTCACAGTCAGAATCAAGCGACACTGAATTCTATCGCTGCTAGTATTGGTTTTGTTGCTGCTTTGGCTCAGGGACAAAGACGCTTTCGAACTGCTCGGTAACCTTGTCGAAGGAATAAGTGACATGGTAGAAGCGTTTGCCAAATTGTTCTAGCTGCGAACAAGCAAGATCGTGAGCACCCGGAAAAACATTTGATTCAGAGCGCATACCATAATCCAAAGTCCGATTCTCTCTCAAAGTTGAGGTCATACTTTCAGTTTCTAGTTAGGTAGGTAACCAGATAATGGCGCAGAAGGTTTAGGAATAGATTTGATGTCCACTTCTCTTACCTCGCCAGGTGCAAAACTAAGCTGGCTGTGCCTGTATAATTAAAAACGTGAAAACGATTCTACACAAGAAGAAAGAAGTCACCTGCGAAGATCCAAGCCATATAGACCAGCTTGAAGAACAGAGAGATTGTCGGAATCAGGCGAAACGATGACAATGCTCTCACCAGCGTACTGCGTCTCAAGAATGGACATGAGCTGAGTGACGCGCACAAACACGTCAGCGACACTCTCGTTGGGAGTTCCATTTGTGTTTGGCGGAGGTCGTGATTGAAGCGACACGACGTCGGTCTCATAAACCTTGTGGAACCAGTATTGAAAAGTGGCTAAGAAAAATCACTAGCTTACCTCGTTCACAGCATCCAGAGTTTTACCCTCGTATGCTCCGAGTCCTCGAGCGTCCAAAAAGCTATACTCTGGGACAATTCGACTGAAAAAAAAAAGAAGGACAGAAGCGGTCACAAAACAAGAACAAGGAAGAACATAGGAAAAAGATATGCACCTACGTGATATGTCGTTGACATACGCGATTAATTCCGCGGCTTGATAAGATCTCTGAGTGATAGAAGGCCAAATCCAGCAACTATCTTTGCATGCTCCCAAGTTCTTGAGCTTCACAGCAGCTTGCACTACTTGCTTCTTTCCAGCTTCGGACAAGCCATTCTCTAGCGAAGTTTTAGAGACTGGATTGGTATTGATAATTCCACTGGTCTCATACTCCGATTCTCCAGCTCGCACTAGAAAATATCTGATAAGAGGACAAAATTCGTAAAGAGAAGAAGAGATTTTCATCTAGTACTTGCCTGTTCTTTAATCTTGTGGGAGGCATTTGGAAAAGTCCACTGGCGAACGCCGGCGCAGCAAACGATGGCGATGTGAAGAAACGAACGTCCGCGGGCGGAGCGACAAAGACAAGCCCTGAAATCGCTAGCGCCGCAGCCAATCTCTGCGAGTACCTCTTAATCACTGCCAGATTTAAGAATTCATCCCTGTGTTGCGCGATATCGCGCCTTCGTGGACATCCGACGCCACAGCAGCGCGCCATCGCCATCGCCATAGCCATTTGGGAAGAACCCTATTAGCAATGGGCGGGCTATTCAAATCAAACCACTGAGATACTGCCACGTCGCTTGGGTTTTGTGGAAATTATTGTGCCAGCTATTGGGAGATCCTTCAATGTTGGAGCCCACTCGCGCTAGCGCTGGATTGGAAGATCGATTCAAGACCCTAATCGCTGCCAGGTAGAGTGTTGATGAATCGATCGTCTTTTCTATCCCGCTTGGTTTGGCGCAGATCAACTTGGACAAGAAATTTCTTCTCTTAAAGGCTTGACAGGGACCCCAGTATCAAGCATTGAATCGAGGAAATGCTATCACTGTATGCCGTGCCTAGTACACTACATGTGATCCGCAATGGAAGAGCCTCGCGATCTTTGGTCGCAGCGTTGATCCACTGGCGCCCATGGGCAAACTTTGGTTTTAACTCCACAAGCTCACAAGCTAAAGCTACTGGCAAGTTATAACGTTTTTTTGTCATATGAGCTTTGTCCATGATGTAACGATTCATTTGCTTCTTTTATGCAGGTGGATTGATGGTCTCTGTCCATAACACCGCTTTAAGAGAGGCTCGCCAAGAGGGATCTAGAGAAGGAGCACCACCATGCAGAAGCTTTTGGCTCTGAGCTTGATCGTCCTTCTCGCTGCCGCAGAAACTTCACACGCGAAACACAGAAATGGTGGTCGTGGTGGTCGTGGTGGTCGCGGTGCAAAGGCGATCTTTATCTTTGGTGACTCGCTGGTGGATTCCGGGAACAACAACTACCTGAATTCTCTGGCGAAGGCAAACTTTGCTCCCAATGGCGAGGACTGGCCAAATCATCTCGGGACTGGGAGATTTTGCAATGGCCGGCTAGTGGCAGACTACATAAGTAAGCGTTTTCTGATGCTCTCCGGATCCGAATGACCTTTTTGCAGGTGAATACATGGGGACCGAGCCGGTGCTGCCTATTCTAGATCCAAAGAACACTGGAAGGAACCTTCTCAGGGGAGCAAACTTTGCTTCTGCAGGCTCCGGGATTCTGGATGATACAGGAGCGATGTTTGTAAGTTAAAATGCGTCCACAGCTCAAGGATGTGATGGAGACTCTTCTTTCCAGGTTCAACGCTTGCGAGTTTCTGAGCAATACAACTTGTTCAGGCGGTACAAGGGCCAATTAGCGTCGTTCGTAGGAGGACGAGCAGCAGATAGGATTGTGGCAGCCGGCCTGTACTCTTTCACAATTGGAGGAAACGACTACATCAACAATTATCTTCAGCCTCTTTCAGCCAGAGCAAGGCAGTACACACCCCCGCAGTACAACACTCTCCTCGTCTCAACTTTCAAGCAACAACTCAAGGCAAGATCCACTCGAGTTTCTAGCCGGAAGTGATGAATTGAAACAACAGGATCTGTACAACATGGGAGCTCGCAAGATATCCGTCGGCAACATGGGTCCAGTAGGCTGCATCCCCTCTCAAATAACTCAAAGAGGTGTCAACGGGCAATGCGTCCAGAACCTGAACGAGTACGCGAGGGACTACAACTCCAAATTGAAACCAATGCTTGACGAACTCAACAGAGAACTGAGAGGAGCTCTCTTTGTATATGTCAACGCATACGACATTCTTTCAGACTTGGTCTCCAATCCAGGCAAAAACGGTATGTATCAGGACCTTTCGTTTTTCGTTTTCCTTTTCCTGTTTTGAAGTTTGCTCACACGCTCAAGCTGGACCCAGGCTTTACAGTATCCAACTCAGCGTGCTGTGGTCAAGGCAACTACAATGGCCTCTTTATCTGCACTGCGTTCTCTACCATCTGCAACGACCGAACCAAGTACGTATTTTGGGATCCTTACCATCCCACCGAAAAGGCAAACATTCTCATTGCTCAGCAAACTCTGTTTGGTGGTACTAATGTCATAAGCCCGATGAATCTCAGGCAGCTACTAGCTCTTCCATGACGCAACCAAACTCGGTTTGCTCGGTGTATTCAATAATCTTCACGTGAATTCAAGGCCTTGAGTTAGTTCCGGGTGAACAATGACGGTGGTTGGTCACGTATGCCAAATGACGATGGCAGCGAGAAAGCTGGAAGTGGTGGTGGTAGGACGGAGCCTGGTAAATGCTCTTGGTTTGTTCTCTTTTTCCTTCAGAGCCGTTTCAAGCCTATAAGGCTCGATTTCGAGGAGCAGCTTGCAATTCCTATTCTCATTTTGCTGCAGACGTACGATGCGGTAGCTTCGAAGCTGGCTGTGGGTTGAACCTTTCGCATCGAGAGGTACGAAAGTCATATATCGGTTTGCATTCAAGCTGGATTGCTAAGTGTTGTCTAACAGGGCAGCGAAGGACAATGGAAGCGTTCCAGCTCCTTGTTCTCTTGACTTGTCTCATCTCCGTAGCGGCAGCTGGATCGGCAAGCAGGTCCAAAGCGAAGGCGATGTTCGTGTTTGGTGACTCGCTAGTTGATGCTGGCAACAACAACTTCATCAATTCTATCGCCCGAGCCAACTTCGCACCAAACGGCATCGACTTCCCGAACAGCGCGCCCACCGGCCGCTTCTGCAACGGGAAGATCATATCAGACCTGTTGAGTAAGTTGTCACTATAGAGGAGTTTCGTACCTATGATCTCGAGTTTCAGGTGATTACATGGGAACTCCGCCTATACTCCCAGTTTTGGATCCCCAGGCGAAGGGCCAGAATCTGCTGCTGGGTGTCAACTTCGCGTCGGCTGGAGCCGGGATCCTGGACGACACTGGAACCATCTTCGTAAGCTCTTCCGTTTCGACTTCTCAAATGATTTTTTTTTTTTTTTTGTTTTTACGTTTGTCCTTCTTTGATCTCCAGATTCAACGCTTGACAATGACGGATCAATTCCGACTCTTCAGAAAATACAAAAGCGATCTGGCCGCTGTGGCCGGAGCGTCCGCAGCTGCGAAGTTAATCTCGGACGGGATTTACTCCTTCACAGTCGGTGGCAATGACTACATCAACAACTATTTACTCCTCTTTGCCCAGCGTGCTCGGCAGTACACCCCATCGCAGTTCAATGCGCTGTTGATTGCGACTCTGCGCAACCAGCTCAAGGTAAAGTCGCTGTTACCTTTCCACCTTTGCTTTTAATTCCCCACTCCCTTTCCTCGCTCGCCGGTTTTACAGACAGTGTACAGCCTCGGCGCTCGCAAAGTGACTGTGTCCAACATGGGACCGATTGGCTGTATCCCGTCGCAGCTCCAGAGAAGCTCCAGAGCCGGCGAGTGCATCCAGGAGCTCAATGACCACGCGCTGAGCTTCAATGCGGCGCTCAAACCCATGATCGAGGGCCTCAACCGGGAGCTCAAGGGAGCGACGTTTGTCTACGTCAACAGCTACGACATCCTCAACGAGTACATCCAGAATCCATCCAAATACGGTACGTTGGTCTCTAAGTTCCTAAGCTTCTCTCAAGTTTCTCTCAAGTTCCTCTGTGAATATCTAAAGTTTTCACTGTGAAACTTGTCCATCTCTTCCAGGCTTCCAGTACACCAACATGGCGTGCTGCGGACAAGGCAGCTACAATGGGCTCTTGACGTGCACTGGGCTGTCGAATCTGTGCTCGGACCGCACAAAGTACGTGTTCTGGGACGCGTTCCATCCCAGCGAGAGCATCAACAGGCTCATCACCAACAGGCTTCTCAATGGCCCGCCCTCCGACCTCTCGCCATTCAATGTCAAGCAGCTCATTGCGATGTCGACGTGAAAGTGGGCAGCAGCGCAAGAGAAAAGAAAACGATCGCGAGTGTTAAATTTTCGGTGTGTACGGCTTTTCTGTACGGAATGTCAAAAGGGATGTTTCCGTAACACTAAGAATTAAGGTCCGTACGAAAAACTTGTTTGACAGAATATCCTTAACCCCCGTTGGCTTCAAATAGAACTTTCTGAGCCTAAACATATTTCCGTACGGAATCTTTTATTTGTACGAAATGTTTACACCGAGAATATCCGCTGACTTTCAGACGACAAGCACAGTCAAGTCAATGTCGTTGACTTGTGACTCTAATACGCTTCGGCTCCGTTGACTTGGGATTGCTCGTCTTCGTCGCCGTCTTGGGCGACCTCGGCGTAGTCCTTCTCCAGCGCCGCCACGTCCTCGCGGGCCTCCGAGAACTCGCCCTCCTCCATCCCCTCGCCGACGTACCAGTGAACAAACGCGCGCTTGGAGAACATGAGATCGAACTTGTGGTTTATGTGCGAGAAAACGTCCGCCACCGCGGTGTTGTTGCTGATCATACACACTGCGCGCTTCACTCTCGCCAGATCTCCGTTTGGAACCGCCGTCGGCGGCTGGTAGTTTATGCCACACTTGAATCCAGTCGGACACCTTGGAAGTAGTGAGCAAAAAAGTTAGATCGATTGCAAAACCGAAGCTTTGGAGCCTTACCAGTCCACGAATTGAACCGAGCGCTTGGTCCTTATGTTTGACACCGCCTGCTGGACTTCTTTGGGCGTCAAGTCGCCGCGGTACATCATACAGCACGCCATGTACTTGCCGTGGCGAGGATCGCACTTGGCCATCATGGACGCCGGCTCGAAGACGGACGTGGTGATCTCGGACACCGAGAGCTGCTCGTGGAAGGCCCTCTCGGCCGAGATGACCGGCGCGTAGGACGAGAGCATGAAGTGGATCCGCGGGAACGGGACTAAGTTGGTCTGGAACTCGGAGATGTCTACGTTCAGAGCGCCGTTGAATCGCAGCGAGGTCGTGAGCGAGGAGATGACTTGCGAGACGAGGCGGTTTAAGTTTGTGTAGCTCGGCCTCTCGATGTTCAAGGACTTTCGGCATATGTCGTAGATGGCCTCGTTGTCTAGAACCGCGACTACGTCTGAGTGCTCGAGTAGAGCGTGCGTTGCTAGAACGCTGTTGTATGGCTCCACAACAGCCGTGGAGATCTGCCAAGAACTTTTAGTTATTGGTCACCTTGTAAGAAGGAACTTCTTACCTTGGGAGATGGATATATGGAAAAGCCGAGCTTGGACTTCCGTCCATAGTCACAAGTCAGTCTCTCGAGCAAGAGCGCTCCCAAACCCGAGCCAGTTCCTCCTCCCACCGCATTGAAAACCAAAAATCCTTGCAACCCCGAGCAATTGTCTGCGAGCTTTCGTATCCTGTCCAAGCACTGTTCCAGAATCTCTCTTCCAACTGGAAAATGGAGAACACTGTAACGTTAATCAACCATTAGCCATGGCCTAGCTAGTACCAAAGTTCTAAAAGCTAGCTAGAACTATGTAAAAAATATAAACCATAGTGTTCTAGAGCAAATTATATACTGCTAGAGTCTTAGCAGAACACAACTATGGCTAGAAGAGGGAAAAGCCATAGTGTTCTCGAGCACTTCTATCACCACAATGGAGCTCTAAAGCTAGAACACAACTATAGCTGGAAGAGGGAAAAAGAATTTCTAGGAGCAATCGATCGATCACATACCTGTGTAGTGTCCTCGAGCGAAATTATTCGCTGCGTCCTCCTTCCCAGAGATGAGCTGGTCGGGATGGAAGAGCTCCCTGTAGCTCCCAGTTCTTATCTCATCGATCACAGTAGGCTCCAAATCCACCATCACCGCCCTTGGGACGTGCTTCGTCGCGGACGCCGCCTCGCTGAAAAAGGTTCCAAACGATTCCTTGGTAGCTCCGGCCATGGCTTCCTGGTGATCGCTGGAAGAGAAGGAAGATTTCGAGGGAAACTTTGAGCAATCGGGGGATCTAAGACACGCGCTTACTTGCGATCGATCGCCTTTCCATTCGGTTGGATGCCGTGCTCCAGGCAGAAGAGCTCCCAGCACGAATTCCCTAGCTGGATTCCTGCCTGCCCGACGTGTATGCTGATGATTTCTCTCATCTAGCGAGATGTCTCGGCTAGAATTTGTGACCTAGCGCTAGAACGAGCGCGATTTCTCCTTTGATCATCACACAACGCGAGAAAAGCTACGCAATTGACGTGGACGAAATGAGCCAATCCTATTCATCCACGCCGCCCACGTCACTTCTAGGGTTTTAGAGCACACGAGCAATGCGCGCAATGTTTGTTCTCTTGCGCCTTCTTGCTCCTCTCGCGGTCGTCCACGGGTCCCATGGCGATGGATTGGCAGTGAAGGGATCGGCGCTGTGCGATGCCGCGATGTGGAAGACAGGGAAGGATTTGCCAGGGTTTGTGGTTCCGCTGGTGGATTCCTGGTGCAATGCGGTGGCGCAGGACGCCGTGAGACAGGCGCGAGTGGCGCGGGAGGATCTCGCGAGCAGCATTGCGGAGAAAGGTTCGTGCTGGGATGGGCTGAAATATTGTGAGGAGAAGCGAAGGGATTGCCAGCAAGAGTGCGATCGAGAGAAAATAGCGCTGGAGCTGCGCTTCGTCTCCGCTCAAGAGAAATCACTGGCGAACGCCGCCTACTGGAAGCAAATGTGTGAGAAGAAGATCAGCATTGCGCAGTGTGAGTTGGAGAAGAAGGCCGCTGCTACTGTCAAGTGCCAAGAAGATCGAAGCTTGGTGGAGCTCATGCCTGATCGATCGAGCTCTCGGGATGGACAGGCCGAATATCTGGACGATGCTCTAGCTTCCTGCAGGTAAAGTACACCACCAATGGATTCTTTCTCCTAATGCTGTGTAGTCCAGGCTCCAAAACGCGTATGCTAATGCAACCGTGGGAGAATATGTGAGAAAGCTCGAAGACCAAGTCTATCTTTTGTACAGGGTTCTTGCTGGTAGTGGGAGCTTCTTCATGGTTTTGATCGTTTTGTTAGTAGCGTTGCTCCTGCAAGGTAAGGAATTTTTTCTTCTTTCGTGCATTTTCACCTTCACTTATGGAAACATTGTGCAGCGTGGAAAGGCGGAGAAAGAGAAAGGCCACCGGGCTCCGCAAAGAACAAACTTCGGGTTCTTACTCCCGCTCAAGCACTTAAGCTGTTAAAGTTAATGTCTGACGGCGGCAATGGTTGCAGTACAAGTATTCTCACATCAGTGACTCCTGCTAAAGGTAGGTGTTTCGGTGTTTTATTACAAACTAAGATCTTTTTGTTCTTTGCAGGTAGTGAAGAGTACTTTCTGCTGGTTCCCATGAACTGCTTCAGAAGTAGGGCGTTTGCGGTCTTTGGATGTGGCGGTGATTTTTCTGGTGACGTTGAAGCCGCAAGAGATATTGGTGAGTGATACGGTTGTCTAATTATTTGATCTCTTTTCTTTATTTCCAGCGGCTGATCAACCGCTATCTATCATACTTTACGATCACACGGGAAATGCATTTACGGAGACTGTTTTGGAGAATCTTCAAATGCAACCGCACGACATTGCCGCAAATGTTATTCCCAAGGACTCTGATTATCCGACCGGGTTAGACGTTGGAGTTTTATCAATGGACGCAATGGATGTTTGTCTGATCAACGCTGATGGAGATTCGATGTTAACCGACCATTTAGCAGAACAGCCTTGGATTACATACCTGTGTAGATCTCGGTGACTTTGGTGAGGAAGGGATAACAGGAAGTGGCCGAAAGAAGCAGGAAAGAATGGGTAGGCAGTTGCAGGAAACTTAAATGGTTTACGACAACACCAAAAAGCTCGAAGGCGACACTGATAATGCAACGTCGTCGCAGTGGGCCTGAAAATCTGGAATCGACTGGTCCAAAAGCTCCAATCTTTCGAGCTCAACAATCTTGCTTGCGACTTTACTTACATAAGAATGGTTTTGCCGGCGGCTTGTTTTTTGGGCATAAGATATGGGAACAGGTTCTGTAGATTCTCGTGGAGAAAATTATGTCGAGTGAGCACCCCGATGATCGGCTCTTCCTGCAATCACAATAGAGCTTATACCAAAGGCTGAGAAAGCGTATCTTACCTCTGGTTCACGGGGAACTACGCAAAGGTGTCGAAGTCCCAGGTCTCGGAACAACGTGTAGGCCTTCGCCAGTGATGCCGATTCAAGGACAGTATACGGTGATCCGTTTGTGATGTGTCGGACGTTGATGAACTCCAGCTCCTCCTCGGGACGTAAGTCTATATCCTCGATCTTTAAAGACTTTCCTGTCGCTGGTTTTGCAAAGTCCGTGAACTGTAACATTTTCGAATTTTCTGCAGAGCCACTTGATGCGTAATGGAAGGCCTTGTTTTTCAGCAGTACCAGCAAGTGTGATCGCAGTACCAGGCCCAGGAAAACTTTCCTTCCAGTCGTGCTGGACTCTCCGATGACAGGAAAGGCGTTGTGCGTGGTGTTCCTCAGAACCATTAGTACCGTTGACACTTGCTCGACTGGCGACAGTGAAACCACGGATGTTGTTACCGCATCTTTGGCTGTAAGCTGCTGCATGAAAGGCTCGGGCTTTGCTTCCAGTATTGGATATCCTTTGATCTTGACGTACATTTCCCAGATGGCGGAGTTGAAGATGTCACCGACCGTTTTTGCAATAAGCAGTACCAGCATGATCATTGGTAGCATCAGCATGTTGTTCGTGAGCTCGAGAAGAATGACGCAAAGAGAAACTGTCATTCGCATGGTTCCTCCGAGGAATGCTGCAGCACCAAGAACAGCGAAGTAGCCCTCGTCCATTTTGTTGCCGGTCGTGGTGGTCATAATCATGCCAACCAGCCGGCCCAGTGAAGCTCCATTGATGATCAACGGTATAAACAGGCCGGATGGCACCGCAATCCCGTAAGTTATCAGGGAAAATATGAAGGATACGCCGAAGAAAACCAGAATGGACCTGTAGTGATACTCCCGGTACGTTTTAAAACTGAAGAGGTTTCTAACGGCGTCATCTTTGGTGGCGAAGAATAGGCCAGCGAGATCGTTATATTGGCCGGCAGGACAGTTGAAGCCTTTGAAGTTTCCTGTTTGTCCGTGGGTTGGACATTTATATCCTGGAATATCAGATAAATCGGGGCAGGGTCTGCACTTAACCAGAAATGGAAGCCAGAAGCAGCAGGCGGACGTGAGAATGGCCATCAAGCAGGCATGTATAACTTTGACGCATGGTGGCTTTCTGTGAATAACCCCGCGTTTGATTTCTCGCAGGAAAACTTGAAATGTTTCTTACCTGAGATACCAGTAGATGTAGCACTTGGTGACACGAGTGTTGAGCTTGTTAAAGACGCTGCCAAGGATTCCTCCGAGGACTCCCAAGATGACAACGGGGAACAAGTCGAGCAGTCCAAATTGGCCGTAAGCGTGGCTGATATCGAACATGATGAGACCGCCTTCTCCGAAAAGACCACAGATTCCCTGGGCACAGAATTGCTTGCCGAGCTGCAACATGACCGCGACAACGGCAGTTGTGAAGAAAGCTCTCCACAAAAGAGCACTCCGCCACCTACAGGTTTGAATCAGGAAAACAAGGCGGAGCAGAAGATACAACGTACCATGAAGTTACTTCCTCGAGTGCAAATAGAACTCCTCCAATCGGTGCTCGAAACGCCGCTGCAACTCCTCCGGCACAGCCACAGGTAACAAGATCTCGCCGGTCTCGATCGTTCTTGAAAACTCGCAGCCATCTCCAGTTCATATGATAGCGCAGGGAGCCACCTTGGCCGAGGAAATATGCTACGCAGGATCCGATATGGATAAGTGGCCCTTCCTTACCGAGATACAGTCCTGCCGAGACGACACAGATACTTCCAAGTAGCTACTCGACCACAGGTAATCATCTTCAGTGCCTTTTTTACCTCGGAGATCTATCTTTTTGCTTACCTTGATGACCATTGTAATTGGTTCCAGGATTCGTGGTGCATCAATCCCATTGAGATAAGCTTTGCTCTCTGGAACTCCAGATCCGGCTGCTGATGGAGCAAGGTAAACAGTCATGGCTGCTCCCAGGAAGACCAGTCCTGTATTCAATGCGGTGAAAATGGCAAAGGCAGTCATGGTCCTAAAGAGAAAAACAGCACGGTTTGGAGGGGGGAAAAGATGGATCGCAAACGAAAAGAATTGGAGCCAGAGTTCGACCGAGTGACTCTACCTGCCAGAGGTCATGTAGCTTGACGCAACAAGCCATTTGGCTCCAGCTATGTTCTCGACGCTGAAGTTGATGATAAGTGCGGCGGCACCGATAATGAACCCGGTCAGGAACGCGAAGGCCCATTTGGTGACAATGTAGAGGAAGACTTCTTCCTTCTTTCGCGCTCGCCAGTCCTGTTTGAAGAGATCGTTCTCGATGATCCTGGGGGGAATTGGGATCCAGGCAGATCAGGAACAGGAGGAAAAGGAACAGAGTAACTTACTCGTAGTCCAGGCTTTCGAAAAGCCTATCCGGTGTCTGGAAGACAGTGAGATGCGACACGCCTTTGTCGAAGATCTTGGATTTATCATCCTCGGATACGCCAAGCAGCGGCGCTACGAGATCAGGATTGGTCGGGGCCTCTTGATCCATGCAAGGAAAGAATTCACAAGCAGCGTACAGGAAGAGGAGCTACTTGACGAGATCGTCGGGAAAGAATTTGGCAGAAGAAGGAAGAAGTGACGCAGAGAAGGGGGGGTGAACAAGCTGGAAACGACAAGGTTATGAATCCAGACTGGGCCAGATTTCCTCGGCCAGCGTAGACGACATGGCTTCTAGCACTGCAAGACAAGTAGTCGCGAGAGGTGGATGGACACCACACTAAAGGCGAGAAGAGGTAGCTTGCCTCTGGCTCCTACCAAAAGGGTGGCTTGGCCCTGTGATCGTCGAGAGAAGTAAGTTCCTCTTTTCTCTTCTCTGTTGGTGTTGGTTAAACTTTGCACTTCTCAGGGATGAGATCTTGGAATTATATAAGCTGCCAGAGAATGCTGCAAGGTGCTTTCAACTCTCTTTTTGTTCTCTCTCTCTTTTGGTTGGCTCTTCCAGTTTTTGTTTTTGTATTTGATTTTTCGGTTTTGCTCCAGGCCAGCTATGGATGGTTGGAGAATCGAGCACGAAAGCCTGTGATAATGTTGTGCTGGGCTAGTGACAAAGCACATGTTGGGGCGTACAGTGGTGAAAATGATTTCTCTCTTGTATGTTTACTATCTTTTGCTTGAGGTGCTTGCTTGCTCGCGCTGCTTGCTTGCGTTGAATGATCTGGAAGACAAAAATATAAAGACTTTTCTATCGAACTTATAAGTTTCGGGGAAGATTAAATTTCTTTTTCATGAATGGTCCCTCATTCTCATACCAAGCCATTAGAACTACAATTACAACGAGTAAAAGTGCCAAAGACCTGAGGATCTCTAAGCACGTGAAGTATCATCATGTGATGGTCATGATTTGAGAAAAGTAAAGCCACAATGAGGTCGCCTTGTGAATTTTAATCAAGATAGAATTGGTGAATGTTAACAAGAAAACCTTTGTTTGAAGCCTCATTATTTGGAATATGCTTAAATAAACCAATATGTCCATGAACTTATTGGCCGTGTGACAATCCCCACATACTCGCAAGTTCTTTATGATCCTCAGCGGCGAAGAAACGATCATCCTAGTCCATGGACCATCTTTGTATCCTGGACGGCATCTCTCCATCTCCCTCCCAAGCTTCCCCAGCTTTGCGTAAATCTCCGCGGCCCTGGAGCTTGAGCGGCGGCGCTGTGCCTTCCAGCCGCGGCGTAGATGTTGCACAGCACGACGTAGGCCCCTGGATTGTGAGCAGTAAGCTCCAACACTTTCTCCGCAGCACGCTGGCCGCGGTCGCGAGATGGGCTCTACACTCCCGAGTAAAGTCATCCACAAGCTGGCCTGTGATATATAAACTCCTCGGCCTCGTCCAGTCGGCCAAGTAGGAGATCGATGATGTGCGCCGAGCTTGGCTTCACGGGTCACGTAGTAGTCGCAGGCCCGAGCTGCTATTCCGGCATGGCTGCAGGGCGAGAGAATGCTGAGGTAGCTCACTTCACACTGCCCTGTATATGTTGCATTGGTAGAAGAGCTTGAGAGCTTCAAGACCCCGGCCGCTGCAGGCGTACGCAGCTAGCATTGTGTTCCATGAGACAAGGTCCTTCTTTCTCAGCTTGTCGAAGAACGAACGAGCCAACTCGAGGCTCCCATACCTGCTTTATGCTGACGATGGTATTGGCCACTTGGCTGTCGGTGTTGGAGGCCACTCTCTACGGCACACGCAAGGAGATGCTTGCTCGCTGTCAAGCTCGCCAAGCTCCCACACACGTTGGGATGGTGACGAAGCTTATCTCTTTTGGAAGAACCTGAGCACGTCGTTATGCTGGCCGTGATGTGCGTAGGTGCTGGGTCCTGTAGAAATCGTCCACATTCGCCGTACAGGCTTACAAGTGCATTTGCAACTGAGTCGTCATCCTCGATTCCTCGGAGCCTCTGCTCGACCACCAGTGAATGGACTTGTTTCTGTCAAACAATTTTCGAGCCTGCAGCATTCATGTTAATTACAATTGCGTTGTTGAGTACGATGTCATCTGACTCTCCATGATACAGTCACGAATCAAGCGTCCCTGAGGCAAAGCGTCAGGGGTGTCACAAACACGCAGCGTGGGCATTTCCAGCGTAGAGATCTTGCAGGGCATGAACCAAGAGGGCCAAGCAATCGGGACTTTGGTCACCATTCCTGCGCGTCGCTGGAGTCTCTACGACCTGGTCAGCTTATCCCTTTGTGTGTTCCTGACGTTGGTATTTCTCTTGTGAACATGTACGCGAAGTGCAATGCTTTTCAGGACGGTTTTTGAATGCTTTTCGAAGTGGACGCTGTCCTATGGAACACTTCGATCGCGGCATATATGATATATTGCCAACGCGATGCAGCTCGGAGGTATTCAGACTTTCAAGTAAACACCGAGCAGCGAGTTCCACACCAGAACTTCCCTGGGAGTAATCTTGTCAAGCAACTCCTCGCTGTCCACACTTCCCATACCTGTTGAGGAGAGCAGTGGCCAAAAGGAAGCCGAGTTCTTCGACACACCGGTCAAGAAACATCTCTTGCCCCAACTCCAAAAGAACTCGAGCAAGCGCCAGGAAAGTGATCTTGCTGGGCGCTACTTTCTCGACGCATCTCGCCAAGGAGCCGCAATGCCTCGTCTGGAAAATGCAAAGATGACTATCGTCCATCCCACGACGGCCTATCGAATGCTTTCCGCATGTCTTCCAAGCTCTGGCACCGTATGGCACCTGCTATACATGTGGAGAAGAGTGGCCAACATTGTGTTGGATTCATAGCCCTTCTCAAGGATGTGACCATGTAGAGCTCTTCCCTCTGCCAAGCGTCACCATCACCAGCAAGAGATGTAGAGCGCTGGCGATGGAGAGAGCCTAACTCGTAAACACAAAGGCATTGCTGGTGAGAAGAGAAATGGAGAGAAATCGTTGAAGCCTTAGTTGAGAGCGATCGAGTCATGCGGAAGCGGTCGCAATAGAAGCGCCCGAGACAATACTGACCCAACTTTCAGGACATCGTGGAGCTTCTCATGCTGCTCATAAACTTGTTCAAACTTTGGCACTTTGTAGAAACACGGAGCAGAGGACTATCCTCCAGGTATGAGACTTCTATGATCGAGTTGATTTTCAGCGATGCTGGACGAATGGCACAAGTGTGTTCTATCACTATACATCTGGAGCATTCATGGAGGACTTCGGAGCTACTTTTTTCTCTTTCTGGTCAACCGCGAGACCTCCTCGTCAACGCGACAGATCTTCGCATAGACTTCGATAGTTGTCCGCACACTTGAGTGGAGAACTTGACGATCAATTCCCTTAACAAGATCTTTGCTGATGTCGAACGCAAAACTGTGTAAATGCTCGCACCCCGGAACTGTTGTGTACTTTGGTGAAGATTTATCTGCATTCCCAGATAAATGCAGATATCGTACCACTTCTTGGAGATTCTCCCAAGCCCGAGTGTCACAGCGCCTTTGCAAATGGCAGCACCCGGATCTTGTCACACTTGATCTTCAATGAGAGATTAAATTCCATGGAAACGAAAAGTATAGCAAGGAACACTAGATGCAACTTTGATCCAGCCCAAAATATCAAATTCCAAGAATATCCATGAAGTTATTTAACTTTATATTAATAAATGTCAATCTATTTTGGGTTTGTAGGGCACCTGTCGTGGAATCCATGGACATCGCAAAGTCGGCTGGTGCATTGTTGTCTTACGATCCCAATTTGAGACTTCCCCTTATGCCAACGCCCGAAGATGCCCGGATCGGCATTCTTAGCATTTGGAACAAAGCCGACCTTATCAAGGTGCTCTTCGTCTCTACCTTTTTATTTTGAGCGTGTCTTACCTCCTCTTTTCTGCAAGCAAAGATCAGCGAGGAAGAGTTGGAGTTTCTGACAAATGGAGCAGACCAAATGCCCTACCTGCTCCATACGACTGGATTGGGCAGATTGGAGGTGGAGGAGCTTGTCACTGTTGGAAAACCATTTGACCAGTTGGGGAGCATATTCCATGGAAATGTCAAAAGGCAAAAGAGTGGGTTCTCTTAAGCATATACCTTTTATAAGAAAAAATATTTTTTGCACATTTTTTCTAATTACTTTTTCAATATATAATTATAAAATAAAAATACTTAATATATAAGGTTATACTATCCATAACCTAAAGTCCATGTCCAAGACCGCTCTCCATTAGGCTCACACCTACAAGAGGTCCTTTTTTCCACAAGATTCCTTCACTCATGAGGTTGTTCTAACAATCGTTGTTACAATTGTGGTCATATTGCCTGTTTTAGCCATTACCCTTGCAGGTTTTACCACTGTTCTGGTCCTCTATTGATTTCATGCATGCTACTGTTGATCTTTCATCATCTCCTGTTTCGCCTTGCAACATGATCTGGCTCATGTTACTGGAGATTGGAGAAAGGGTTTGTGATGTATACTTACTCACTGATGCATTTCGAAGTAGACAGCATTGGCAAGCAGGATGCCAAACTGAAAAGCAATATCAAGTGAACAGCAGCGCTGATCCATCTTGTTCTCACCATGGATTTTGTCACAGCAGTTATATACAAAATTAACCATGATTTGTTCTTTCTTGAAGCTGTGTTAAGAGTGGGATTCGAACCTTCATTTATCTCGTGCCAACTTTCACGTCATGTCATCATGACAAAATTTGTAACAGAAGGATAAAAAAAATTGTCGGTGTCGAAGAGAGGATAACTTTGAGAGAATCCTGGACTAAGATGGAGAGCTGGATACCTCGAACCGGTTTTCGATCATCGCTTTCCGGCAGGCAAAAGACGAGTAGAGCTCTTTAGGCGGATCGAAGCTTTGCGGAGCCGGAGACAAGCCGATTTACCTCTTGTAGTCCTCGCATGCCTTCGTGATACTTCCCTGGTACTGCCTTGGGTTGGACGCTTGGAACTTCCCTTGCGTCATGCTTCACAAGCTCAGTGCCACTCCTGGGTGAGCCACTTTCGAGCAACTGATTGATTGTGATCGCATGGTGATTTCTATTTTGAAATCAAAACTTTGTTTCATACTGATCCAATGATTGCTTATGCTGTGATGCCTAGAACACCGTCTGGCTGCAAAAGTGTTGGACCAGAATCACCATGATCAAAGGCGAGGATAAGTTGTATAAAAGTCTTGTATCGTTCCATTATGGTATCAGTCAGTTTCCTGTGAGCAGTCTTAGCGATGGAGATGAACATCTTTAGACAAATGGTTAAGTGGCACGAAGGAGTAGAGGAAAAAGCTCAGGATTGCGAACATATATCACTACACAAGTCTCAACAACGTCTTCAGGGAAAATGCAAGTTTCAAGACAAAGATATCACCTTGTTTCTGCTTATTATCACGCTCTTATCCATGCTAAAAGTGGTCATCTTGTGACCACTCATTAGCATATGTGGGGGAACATTGTTCTTTAATATCTTTTTTTCAATCTTTATTAAGGATGATGAATCTTCCACTCTGGTTGCACATTTAAGCAACTAATTCTCCAACACCCATGAACAGCAGCTGAACAGAACTCAGTGGCACAAGCTTGTATCAAGTACAGCAACACAAGATGCAATAAGTGTTGTAGTTTTGGTCATCTTGCCTCTAACTGTCCAAACATACAAGGAGATCTCAAACGCCAGAGACATCTTGTGAAATGTCAATTGACATCAGTGATGATGATGAGTTGAATGGTATCTTTTCTTATTTAAACTT